CCGTGATTTATTTTCACGTGTTGCACTAGCTTTATTCGCTGCTTGGAGTATTATCTTACATCTGGTTTTTTGATGTTGTCGACTTGTGATTTATTTTCACCTGAGGTTTGGTATACTCTTAGCTTATTTTTTCTGTTTGTGGCTTTAAACTCAAAGGGATAGGAATACAGTATTGACTTCATCATGTCAATTACTGGTTTCTTATTCGGTCGAATTCGCTTTACCGTATCTTTTACCCTCCTGTACATAGGACACTATTTTCTCTCATCCTTTAATTTTCAAAACTTTCTCATCTTTTTTCAAAATCTTCTTTGTTTATAAACTCGAACCTCTTTCATAATAAACCTCGACTTTATCGAGTGCCTTTTCTTTTAAAACTTCTTTTCTTTAAACAAACTTCAATACATTTAATCATACTTTGACATCTTTCAAAATTAACAAAAACACTTCAACTCATTCAAACTCTTTTGTGCGCCCGAGCACTTTTATCATTCAAAACTTTTTTCAAGATGAGACATGATTCATTGATAGTCGAGCAACATTCTTCTATCCCCGTGGTTATAAAGGTGTCGACTTTTCCACTTGAGTACTATAGGCGTTCTCAAACCCTCACTCTTGCTGACACATGGTCCATTTTTCCCACACCTTGTGGGGGTTAGTCGAGATTTCTCTCCTAATAATGACGACTTGTCTCCTTGTTTAAAATCAATCAACAGACAAGTCTTTTCTAGCCGAACTATGATGCTCTGACTTTCCCATTGCACGAGGGAGTACGTAGGCACTAAGTCTTACGACCCAAGGCGAGCAACAAAAATAATTAAAAAAAACATTTCATTTTCTTTTGTTGCAAATACTCATTCATTCTTTTCCTTTAGCAAGTAAACTTTTACATAACACTCCTTTTAAAAGAAACCAAACAAAGTGGATCATGCGGAATACCGCAGATGCTTGGGGTGCTAATACCTTCCCTTCACATAACTGACCCACATACCTCGATCTGTGATATTTTTGGGTTTTGTTCGCTTTTTTCCCATTTCCCTTTGGAAACAGTAAAGTGCGGTGGCGACTTCATTGTGTTGAGATAAGTCAATTGATGGCTTAATCTCAAATCTTTACCGCTACATTTCTTTACATATCATCATTGTCGCAATTGAGCACCAGAAAAGTGTGCGACAATAATAACCATACCTTGTTCTGAAAACCATGTTTGAAATATCATATGGCTTAACATGAATCTGATGATAGACGGGCCGCAAATCAATCTTACTAAACACACAGGCACCTACCAATGGATCCATCATATCATTAATCCTCAGAAGTAGATACTTATTCTTGATAGTCACCTTATTCAACTTCCTGCAGTCCATACACAACCTCATACTACCATCATTCTTCTTAACCAACAACACAGGAGCACCCACAGAGAAACACTCGGTCAAACAAACTTCTTCTCAAGTAATTCTTCCATTTGTTTCTTTAATACACCCAACTCTGAAGCTGACATCCTATAAGGAGCCATCAACACTGAACTTGTACCTGGTACCAACTCTATAGAAAACTCTACTTCACGCTCGAGAGGTAAATCACTTATGTCATCAGGAAACACCTCTGGGAAATCACTAACAACATGCAACTCAACACTTCCAGCTTCGCGATCAACTTGAAAGGATGCAAACATTGCAAACATCAAAGCTTCATCTTCCAAAAGTTCTTCCACTTGCTTAGCAGACAGAAACATCATCTATCCATCATCACCAAACTTAGGGAACCTCATAGTCTTATTATAACAGTTGATATGAACATATTTGAACTCCAACCAATTCATTCCAAGGATAACATCAATTTGGTGCAATGGTAGACACACCAAATCCATCATGAAACTCTTACCAAAGATAGTTAAAGAACAACTTGAACAGACAAAAGTAGTAGTAACAGAACCCTTAGTAGGAGTGTCTATCACCATACTACCCTTCATAAAAGATAATTTCGATCTAAATATCATGGAACATTCAAGAGAAATAAACAAATGAGTAGCACCAATATCAATAATAGCAATCAATTCAACCTTGTTAATAAAACAAGTACCTCGAATCAGGTTATCCTTATTGGGAACCTCTGAGCCATTCAAAGCAAACACTCAACCATTAGTTTGAGAAACAATAGAAATTGTCTTTGGCTTCTGACACTAGGTACTGATGTAACCCTGTTCACCACAGTTGAAATAAGTCAGACCTTTATTCTTGCAATCAGAAGCACGATGACTTATCTTACCACATTTGTCACATCTCAGCGGCTTATTGTTGCAACTATCAGCATGGTGGCCTTACTCGCCACACTTAAAGCACTTGACAAAAGCAGGAGCTTCTCCCCCACTTCTGCTTCCTCTCATCAAAAACTTCCTGCCTCCCCTTGTCAGCAGGAGCATTATATGGGTTATCACAATCCTGGTTCTTCCCTTTCTTCTCATTGTAAATCTTACAGAAAGAAGATTTAGCTCTGGTATCCTGATCATAGATCCTGCACTTATTCACTAGTATAGGAAACTGGTGAATCTCTCGATATCCAATTCCTTGCTTAATCTCTAGACGCAACCCATTCTCAAATTTGATACACTTAGATGCCTCAACTGTCGGATTATTGTAATGCAGACAAAAATTCACCAACTCTTCAAACCTGGTAGCATACTCAGCAACAGTTGAAATCCCTTGTTTTGTCTCAAGGAATTCAATATCCTTCTTGTCGCGCACATCTTCAGGGAAGTACTTCTCCAAGAATGCAACTCTGAAAATAGCTTGTGATCTCAACACCCAAAATCTTCGTCCTCTGACGTGCGCTATCCCACCAGTCTTCAACCTCCACTTCTAATATGTGGGTACCAAATTGAACTTATTGCTCCTCTAGGCAAGCCATCAATTTGAATATCTTCTCGATCTTTCTGAGCCACACCTGTGCACCATCAGAATCATGTATGCCCTTAAAGATAGGCAGGTTGTTTTTGCTGAAACTTTTCCAAAGCACGTAACTCATCATTTCCTCCAGCATTATGGGGAATCTGTTGATTCTAGGCCGTTGCATGAGCCAATGACTCCAAAGCCTCAGCAATTGCATCAACATTTCTTCCTCTAGCCATTTCTCTTTTCATGTGGCAAATATCATTAGAGTAATGAAACATTGATTGTGTTTACACACAAATTTACCACCAAGACAGACATCGTATAAAAACCTGGTCGGACAGACTGACCAGGATTTGATAACACTAATATAACACCCTTCTAATCCTACATATAATTATCATATAATTTACAGAATAATTCAAGTAAAATTACCACTAAAGAGTGTTACACTTCATAAAAAACATCAAAATAACAATTCTGCTCTGTAACACGGCTAACATTAATAGTAAATACATTGTTTTATACTTTAAACCAGTCATTCAACAACATCACGTCACATTTATCATCATGAATAAACTTCTTTATAAAACAAAACTCACAATTTTTTAGTCTCATTAAAATTTGTAATTAAACTCAATTTAACAATCAAAATCGTCATAAAGTATATCAACTTAAAAAGGAACATAACATTCGTAAAACAGTGTTCCCAGCCCGATCTTACATATCAGAGCAAGATACCTCTAATAAACGGAAATTAATAAAATACTCAAAAGCTATCTTTAATGTTCCTACAAGTTACTCTTTAGCATCTGCGCGTTATCCACATGGAGGCAACATTCAAACAGAAAGGGTGAGTAATCATATTCATTATAAAAGATATAAGGAAAAGATTAGTAGTTATCAACGACATCACCATATAACAACATATATCATTCATCAACATCTCATACTCACACTGATACATCATGATATCAATTATACATCTTCCATCATTAAAATCGTCATATACTCACATAGTTCACAACTCATTAACAAAATTCATGCAATATCACATAGGATGTTAATGCAACAATACTGACTCAATGCATGTGGTACCAAAATTTATGAACACATGGTTCACCATCCTGCATGATCCCTATTATAGGATCGATATCCTCTTGGAATCGGAGCACATCACAAATGCACTCAATCCTCACAATGAGATTGAGGCTCGTCACAAGCGGACCACTATCCAAAAATGATATGAATGCATGATGTAACACCCCAATTCTACCCCAAGAAAATTATGCAAAATAAATCAGAGTTACAAAATTTCAATCATACAAACGAATCGGGACGTCACAAATTCTTCTAACAAATTCATTGCATTCATCATGGATATATAACACTTATAATAAAACATCGGATGAACCATCAACATAGCATATTTAATAAAATAATTCAACAACTACGCAGCGGAATTCTTCAATAACATCTTTAAATAAACAGCAACTTCGAAACATCTCATATTTAGTAAATAAACAATTTAAAGTCCAACAACTAAAAATCAGCAATAAAAAATCAGCAAGCGTTCATCCCCCCGAGTGTTACATATCAGAGAAATGACACCGACTCGATCTATTGAAGGTATACAGCCTTCACTCTCGATTACCTGCACGTTACCAACATAAGGGCAACATTCAAACAGAAGGGGTGAGATATCTAACAATATAATAAAGTGCATGATAATTAATATATTAAATTAGATCAATAATATCACCACTTCTCATCTTATAATCAACAACAATTACAGCATATATACTCATTCATCAACATCAAATACATCTCATTATTCATTCATATGATGCGACTCAAAACTATGCAAATGCATGTGGTACCATTGGAGAAAAACTCCCATCTCAAAAATCTAATCTGCCAATTAATAGAGGCATCAACAAGGCATAGCCTTCATCCAAAATTTTCCAATCCAGGCCATCTCAACGAGCATAAGCTCCATCTATAAAAAAATGCAATGTATGCGACCAGTGGCGGAGCCAAAAAAATTATGAAGCCTGGGCAAGTTTCCGTTTCCATTGGCTTCATAATTTTCTACCAAGACAGTTCAAATCACGCCTTAGGAGAAAGAATCTCTGACACAGAGCTATAGGTTCCATAAACAGCAACAACAAACCCAAAAACCATAATAGCCCCATCAGAAACCATGCATCTCCAACCCAACTCCTCCTTGAAAACCATACAATGAAACAAAGCAGGCAACACAAATCCAAGAACAACACAAACACTACTTCCAACAAGTGAAAGAAAATCAGCAAAATTAGGCACGAAAAGAGCCACCAAACTCACAACCAAAACCAACAACCACCTCAACCACAAACAATACCTAGAATCCCAAAACCTTCTCTCAAACACCTCATAAACAGGATTCATCATCAAAGGAAAAGTAATAAACAAGTTAACACAAAGCCCTAATTGAACCACAACACTCACCAAACCTTGACCAAGTTAGTAGTAATAATATCCTTAGTTTCTTCACCAAAAGCAAAGTAACCCAACAAACCAAAAGCACCAAACAAGAGAGAAATCATACCCATCCCTAAACCTAACACCCTACCAAACTTCTCCTTATTCTTAGTCTCACTTTCCAAAGGCAAAACCATTCCTATCCCTTCAAAAGCATAAACAGCCACACCTATCCCATAGAAAAACACAGAGAAACCCTTAAAAGCATCTAAACTAGGCCTATTATTCATGAAAACAAAAACATCTTCCACCATAACAACACTCTTGGCACTTATATCAACAGCATCAGCAAAAATACTCAAAGGAGCTAAATGGGTCAAAGTCTTAATCGAATTCAAGCCTAATTGAAAAGGAAAACACCCCCAAAGGAACAAAACCTTCGGAGTGAAACCCAAAAACACCGGAATCGTTTCTCCGGTAGAGTCACCGGCGGCGAGAAAAGCCAAAGTGGAAGAAATGAAAATCAGATAGCTAACACAAAACCCAGCTTGAGTAAGAACAATCATGGAATCAACCGAGAACCGACCCAATCGGCCACAAATGGTGAAACCCAAATCGCCGAAAGATTTGATTTTTGAGAAACCCATTACCGATTCGAGCTTGCGGCGTGTGTTGACTAGAATTAACATGCAGTGGTAGGTTATGTAAGCGACGACGAAGAGCGTGATTAGACCAGTGGCCCAACCGGTTCGTTTGAAACTGTATGGGAGACCGAGGACTCCGGCACCGATGATGGCGATGAAGATGTTGGCGACGGTTTTGAATTGGGAAGAGAGGGGGGTGAATTTGTGAGAAGAGGGGTGTCTTCTTGAGGGTAGGGTGGGAGTGAATAGGAGGATGAACCTTGTTCTTTGACCACCAATGGTGGGCCAGACTAAAGAGCCTAGGCAGTTGCCCAGGGTAGCCGCATGCTAAAACCGCCTATGTGTGCGACTCAACATGAATGTAATAACACACTCAGTTAATAACATCTCAAAACACATCTCAAAACACATCTCAAAACAACAACATCTCAATCATCTCAAAACGACAACATCTCAGTCATCTCAAACAACAACATCTCAATCATCTCAGAACAACAACATCTCAATCATCTCAAAACACAAAATCTCATAAACATATCAGAACAACAACATCTCAATCATCTCAAAATAAAAACATCTCATAAACATCTCAAAAAATCTCAATTACAGCATCTCATAAACATCTCAAAATAATTTATTAAACATCATTTATTTATCAAATGTCATTAGTTCATCATAATTATCAAACACAACTTTAATAACCACAACTCACTATTAACTCAGTTGTATATTAATACTACAGTAATCCCTACTGTTATTCTTCTACTGTACATCATCATTGTCACTAAATCCCACTGTCATAATTCTAACAGCAACCTCTAACATCTCAAAATTCATCATTCTGTCAAAAATCCAGCATAACGGTCATCTACGGGAATTAATCCTAAATCCTAAATTAGTTACTGGGATTACACTTCTTATCCATCATTTTAATCCTCTAGAATAGATTTCATCGCGTTAGCAAATCAATGCTTCGAACGGCATCTCAAACAGCATCCTACAACTCAAGTTACAGCAATTAAAAAAACTGATTTTGTCAAAATTATTCAGTATGGGTCGACACAAAACTCCTTCGATCGACTCATCCTGCTTCATATGTATACTATGAGTCGACACATCCTCCTTATGGATCGACTCATTCTGGCTTTCAATACAGCATGTATCGACACATGCACTCTTCGTGTCGACTCATCCTGAGTCTTGTACTCATCATGTATCGACGCAAACCATCCATGCATCGACTCATCCTGAGTCGAACATCATTCATGTATCGACACATGCCCTGCATGCATCGACTCATCCTGAGTCGAATATCCTTCATGTATCGACACATGCAGCTTGGGGTCGACACATCCTTCGACAGTCTGCATAATTTTCTGCGTTTTCTACTGTATTTTGCTACGAGAATCATACTACAGCCCTAAAAACCTTATTATGATCATGATAATTCATCACCTAATATTACACTCTATTACTCCATTGATCAAACAATATAATAACATTCTTATTCATCAAAAATTCATCAAATCTTCATCATACATCATTCATAATGCAATTTATGCAAGAACAAACAACAATTACATCTAACCCCATATATCAAACATCATGGACCCAATTATAAAGCCAGAACCCCACCCTTACCTTGAATCGAAGTTCGCTCTACAATTTCCGGATTGAATCTTCGTTCTTGCTGTTTTCCACTTTTTCCAGCAACTTCACGTTCTTCACAATCCTTATTTCTTCTTACTGCTTCCTCCTTCTATTCTTCTCACAAATAATAAAATAACTTAATATTATTATATTATTCCTTATTGGGCTCAAAATCTACACCCCCTTAATACTTATACTCACACAATAAAGGCCCACATTAAATAATATTAGCTTCTAACATTATTTCACCACATAATAATATAATACCTCTAATATATTATTATTTCTCCGTTTAATAAAATAAATCCAATTTAATAACACTTCTTCCCAAATATTCTAAAAATAATTTAATTAAATAATTAATTAAATTACGGGCGTTACAACTCTCCCCCGCTTAGAATATTTTCGTCCTCGAAAATTTACCTCAATCAAACAATTCAGGATAGGAGTCTCGCATCTTCCTCTCCAATTCCTAAGTCATGCTTTCTCCTACAGCTCCTAGCCAAACCACTTTAACCAATGCAATCTCTTTTCCCCTCAGAGTCTTCATTTCACGATCTGCGATCCGTACAGGCATCGTCTCCACCGTAAGATTATCTCGTACTTGAACATCGTCCATATGAATCACATGAGATGGATCTGAAATATACTTCTGAAGTTGCGACACATGAAACACATCATGCAAATTCGAAAGATTGGGCGGTAAAGCCACTCTATAAGCAACATTCCCCACTCTCTCTGAAATCTGATACGGTCCAATAAAACGAGAAGTGAGCTTCTTAGACTTCAACGCTCGCCCAACACCAGTCACAGGTGTAACTCTCAAAAGCACGTGATCACCAGCTTGAAATTCTAAATCCTTACTTCACTTGTCATGATAACTCTCCTGCCTACTTTGTGAAGCTTTCATCTTTTCTCGAATCAACTTCACCTTCTCAGTAGTCTCACGAACAAGTTCAGGTCCAAGTACAACACTCTCACCAGATTCATGCCAACATAACGGAGTTCTACATCTCTGACCATACAACGCTTTAAAAGGTGCCATCCCAATACTAGAATGGTAACTATTATTATAAGTGAACTCTATCAACGGAAGATAAGTATCCCATGAACCTCCCTGCTCAAGAACACATGCCCTCGGCAAATCTTCTAACGATTGAATTGTCCGTTCAGTCTGACCATCTGTCTGAGGATGATACGCTGAACTCAACCTCAACTTAGAACCCAACACTCCTTGCAAACTCTTCCAAAAATCAGAAGTAAATCTTGGATCTCTATCTGACACAATGCACAAAGGAACACCATGCAGTTTCACAATCACACTAACATAAATCTCAGCCAACTTCGACACTGGAAAACTGATGTTAATAGGAATAAAATGAGCTGACTTTGTAAGCCTATCAACAATCACCCAAATCGAATCATGTCCTCTTGAAGTACTAGGCAACCCCGTCACAAAGTCCATTGAAATGCTATCCCATTTCCATTCAGGAACTTCCAACGGTTGCATCAATTCTGCAGGCTTCTGATGTTCAACTTTCGACTTATGACAAGTCAAACATGCATACACAAATCGAGCCACATCACTCTTCATCCCAGGCCACAAAAACAAACCTTTCAAATCTTGATACATCTTTGTAGCTCCTGGATGAATACTCAACTTACTTCTATGACTCTCTTCAAGTATCACTTTCTTCATCTCAGCATCATCAGGAATACAAATCCGATTACGAAACCTCAACACACCCTACGCATCTAGCTTAAAATCACTATTCTCAGATTGATCAATCCCAACCATCAAATCTACCAGTTTCACATCCAACTTCTGAGCTTCTCTGATACTGTCTAAAAATTCATTATTAATCTTCAACATACCCAACATAACACTATGCGGAGTAACCTCGCAAACTAATCTCATATCTCTGAACTGCTCGATCAATTCCAACTCTTTAAACATCATTGCTGACATATGTAAAGTCTTTCGACTCAACGCATCAGCTACCACATTTGCCTTTCCTGGATGATAATTCAAACTGAAATCATAATCCTTTAACAATTATAACCATCTTCGTTGCCTCATATTCAATTCCTTCTAATCAATTAAATACTTTAAGCTCTTATGGTCACTAAACACTTCAAATCTAGAACCATAAATATAATGCCTCCAAATCTTCAACACAAAAAAACAACAGCAGCAAGCTCTAAATCATGCGTAGGATAGTTCTTCTCATGAGTCCTTAATTGCCTCGACGCATAAGCAACTACCTTACCATTCTGCATAAGCACACCTCCTAAACCCATCTTGGAAGCATCACAATACACCACAAAAGGCTCTCCTGGATTAGGCAACGTCAAAATCGGAGCCGACGTCAACCTCTTCTTTAATTCCGTAAAACTTTCTTCGCACTGAACATCCCATACAAACGCTCTACCTTTACAAGTCAACTTAGTCAACGGAAGTGACAACTTAGAAAACCCTTCGATAAACCTTCTATAATAACCAACTAATCCCAAGAAGCTTCTAATCTCAGTAGCTGACTTTGGAGTTTCCCATTGCAACACAGCATCAACCTTCGATGGATCTACAGCAATGCCACTAACTGAAATCACATGACCAAGAAAACTAACCTCTTTTAACCAAAATTCACACTTGGACAGCTTTGCATACAACTTCTTCTCTTTCAGAATCTGCAGTACTACTCTTAAATATTCAGCATGCTCTTCTTCTGAGTTAGAATAAATCAAAATATCATCAATGAATACCACTACGAACCGATCCAAATAAGTATGAAAGATACGATTCATATATTCCATGAATACTCCTGGCGCATTAGTAATACCGAAAGGCATCACCGAATACTCGTAATGTCCATAACGCGTTCTGAAAGTCGTCTTCTGAATATCTTCATCCTTCACTTTAATCTGATGGTAACCCGACCTCAAATCAATCTTACTAAACACACGGGCATCCACCAATTGGTCCATCAAGTCATCTATTATTGGAAGCGGATACTTGTTCTTAATCGTCACCTTGTTCAAATGTCTATAATCAACACAAAGCCTCATACTTCCATCTTTCTTCTTCACTAACAACACTGGAGCTCCCTACGACGATACACTTGGTCTTACAACATAAACAACAATTAGAACACAAAATAACAATACTCGATTGTTAGACAACTACGACTCGGCGACAAGGTCGGACCAACCTTTTGCTCTGATACCAACTTTGTAACACCCCAATTCTACCCCAAGAAAATTATGCAAAATAAATCAGAGTTACAAAATTTCAATCATACAAACGAATCGGGACGTCACAAATTCTTCTAACAAATTCATTGCATTCATCATGG